AAATTTTCAAAGCGATATAAAAGAGGATTCTTACCTATAACTTGTAAATAGCCTGGGGCTTCCTTCATCGATCGTTAAACCAGAAAGAAGATAGAAAGTTATAATCTCATCAGAAGTGGTTGCATAAATCAAAATTTAAATAGAGCATACCAAAATGAAGAGCATACCTCCAAATTCTAGGGTTTTGAAGAACCTGTAAAATTAAATCAACAGGGAGGAGGAAGCTGTATGTATCAATGAGGCTTTGATACATCAAATCCTTTTGCTACATGAAATCGGTTCTCTGATCGAGGTGATACATCCACACCACCATTGTTATGCCAAATGAGGTTTGTGAAGAAGAAAGACCTTTGCTTTCTAACCCAAAATGTTGTTGGTCGCAGAGAAAGGATACATAAGAGAAGAAATTTTTTGGTCTTGGTGGTCGCAGAGGTAGGAGAAAGAAGAGGAAGAAACCGGAAGAAACCGGCCCAAAATGGGTAATTTTTGGTGTTTGAAAATCATTGCATAAACGACTTGTACATTATGCATAATAATTTGTAATTAAGAGTTTTTTAAATTTGTTGCATAAAATGATAGTATCCTAAGCTTTAAGACTTGTACTTAAGATATAGGTCTAAATGCTTATATATGTAGTATAGATATGAAAGATGATAAGTTAATTCATGATTTTAAATTAAAAAACCCCCAATCTCTCTATATAAACATCAACATCATGAATTCATGACAACAAAGCAGAATTTCCCCAATTTATTGATTCATTATTAGCCAATAACTAGATTAAAATACATCCACATACTATTAACTATAAACACATTAAGCCCCTACATCTTTTCTTTTGGCATCTCATATTTTCAAGTAAATATAGATTACACACACACTCTCTAATATCACTTTATATAACCTTTTAACAAACTTAAGGCCTTCAAACATGGCTGCAGGTCTGCAACTGCTTACAGGAGTCTTAATTTCCCATTTGTCCAAACCAAGAAACATCGAACCATAATATGCACGATACTAGAGTTGTAGTTGAGTAACTATCGATTGTATAGGCCAAGATGTCTCTATAACCCCGAGAAATCATGAACGGATAGTACATGAGTTTTGATTGGTCATGTTAACCACGAGTCGTCCAGAATTTTTACATTATTCACATGTTCATTCAAGTTGGCAACAAGGTTAACAACAGAAATAAGAAACCATAGGTTCTATATCAAAACCAAACCAAACCAAACCAAACACATGCATTATGTTTCACTTGAAAGTAGGGTTAGAGGTAAGATGTATACAGATTTTACCTGAAACCAAAAGAGTAGAGCAATTGTTTTCGTAAATCACAGGTTTAATATCACTAACCAAAATGACAAGAACTTTGAAACACCTAACCACAATACATCAATAGCTTCAAGGGTCACCACCATGGGAAAACCATGCAAAAGTAAGAAAACCAACTTTTTCTGTTAGTACCTCGGTATCCTTTAGCGCTTCAATCCAATTGGTTCCGGCTATAAAACTAAATCAAACCAAACGAACCCAGTAGATCCCCGCAGAGGAAGGGTGGGTCCGGGTAAAGGATGTGCGCAAATTTTGCAAAACAAAAATCGACATGAACAAGGTGAGAGTGTATGCAAAGAAGCAACAGGTACAGTAGACCACATAATGCATCAGACATATCATTGCCAGGTAGAATCATGAACTAGTAAGCAGTAAAAATGCAAAAACAGAACAAGCAAAGAACATTGAATCCTACAAACAAAAATCTATAAATTTAACCACCAAAAACTTCACTTTTCATCTTTTAGAATGTAACATTTTTGTTTAAGTATTTCCCCCAGTAATTCGTTATTCGAAGTCTGCCTCCGTCATTATCTGGTAGCATACGCAGCAACCACCTGCCATCCAGACGAAGTAGTCTCACCATGTTCTTAAGTCGAAGCATTTCAACTTCCATTTCAAATAGCTGACTCTGAAACTAAGTCAACCAAGCGAAACGAACCCACAACATCATATGGGGTGGGATGTTAAGCATATTTGTCTTCTATTCCAAAGGGTAGAGCTGTTGTTTCTGTACAGACCCAGACTTGTGCAAAAGCGTGAGCTAAAAGGTTTTGCATGGGTGAACAAAACATGTAGCCAATGGTTCACGTGTTTAGACCGGCCCAATTTTTGAAAGCAATAAGTGCCTCCATTTTCTTGATGCTCCTCTTTCTCAATTTTGCCACTTTAAGCTTCTTATGATTCTCCATGAATACTTGTTTATACCTCYATTTATCTACAAATATCTTCATCTCTTGAGATTTCTCCACAACTTGCATCACTGCATCGAAGAAACCCCCTTTCACTAAGGCATAGAGGAAAGCATCAACCAAGCCATGATCCAATTTGAAACTCTTTTCACTATTAAATGAAGCCCTTCTCTTAACGTCATTCCACATCATCAAAACACTGAAGTAATTTCCTGCATTCATATATCCATTAACTAGAGAAAGATACGTTTGCTCAGTCGGTTCAAATTGAAGAAAAACCATTCTTCTAAAAGTCCTCCGTGCATCTTCTAGACGTCCTGCTTTACAGAACGCATGAATAATGGAATTCCAATCATGGGTTCCAATTTTTACTCTCGGGTCCTCAACTACCTCATCCAAAAACGCAGCCATCAGTTCGGGCCGATGGTTTTCTGTCAAACCCGTCATTATTGTTAAATAGCTTCCCATTAAGTCGGGTATTCTTGCTTCTCTCATGTCTCTAAAAAGAGAAAATGCCGACTGAAAATCTTGACTAGCCATAGATGCATCTATTAAAGCATCGAAGCTACTAACATCAAGCTCTAGCCCAAAACTRCACATTTCCGATACCAACTGTGCAGCTTCTGCTGTTCTTTGCTCTTTACCGTAAGCCTTCAAGATTGACACGTAAACTCCAAGTCCAACTGAACCTCCTTGTGCATTCATTTCATCAAGAATATTATTCGCCTTTTCTAATAACCCTAGATTAACACAAGCACTAATAATACCATACCCAACAGACTTTTCAACTATAACAGTTGTGGATTCTAACTTTTGAGCTTCAAGTATCAAACTTGCTAAACCCTTGATGCTTCCATGCGTAAGATATCCTTTCACTATTTCACCATAAGTTCCTTCAAGAAAGTTTAAAACTTTACCATCTAATTCCCTCAATCTTCGCAATATAGTAGCTGAAACAGAATCAAGATTACCTGATTTCACATACCCACTAATCAAGTTACTAATAAACACTCTTTGATCAGAAAAACCAAACTTAGATACCAGGTCTTCTAATTCAATTATCTTTGTCTCGAGTCCTTTTATTGCATATAAATAAGCAAGGCAGCCAAAACTTGTCTCATCTGGATGAACACCCAACACAGACATTGTGTCGAGCACCTTCTGGGCATCGGTAACCGATTCAAGCTCATGGCAACAACCCTCCAAAGCAGCGTTACAAGCAGCCAAATCAGGCCTCAATGAATCTAACTTTTCTTCCTTTGCAATCCTACAATTCTCGTTAAAAACCTCGAAAAAATCACAAAATCTACCAGTTTTCCTACTGATCTCTACAAAAGCATCACCCCACATACCAAAAGGAATAAAATACCTGTTCTTGAACATAGACTTAACCAATGCAAAAGCAGGGGAACCATTTGTAACCTTCATTGAATCTAAGAAAGTCTCAACTGTTCTAGGCTTCAACATATCTGGGTTTGTCTCCAACACAAACATCAAAGATGCAAATGCCCTTTTGAGATTGTGCGTATCATTCTTGACCGAACATAAATGGGTAATCAATGAGTTAAGGAGAGGCTTACTTGGTAACGACGATGAAAGCGATTTGAAGCACTTCCAAGCTTCATCTGTGTTGTTTTCCTGGAGAGACAATTGAAGAGTGGATTCAAGATTGGGCTTCTGTAGGTTATCTAAGGCTGTAGGTTTTGGGGTTTGGTCGTCAGGACTTGGAGTTCCTTTAATTTGGGGTTTTCTTACAGCAAAGATTGAAGGCTGGAGGAAGGAATAAAGGGAAGGAGGAGATGGGGTTTCTGGTGCAGAAGAGAAGTATCGGAGCAAAGGAACAACTCTTCTCCACATCGTCGTCCTCCGAGACGAGATTTCAGGTGTACGCAGTGAAACCCCATATGTATCCCCTCAAGGATATGATATAAAGAAGGTAAACGGGAACCTATGTATCAAAAAGCTGGAATAGCTCAGTTGGTTAGAGCGTGTGGCTGTTAACCACAAGGTCGGAGGTTCAAGCCCTCCTTCTAGCGGGCATAGGCTTTTTTGATAATTTGTAACTTCATCAAATTAAGGGAGGGAAATGAAAGGTCTTTTTGGGTTGGGTTAAAAGCGCCCAAAAAGCATTTGAACAATTTGCGATTTGAAAATTTTCAATCCAATTCAAATAAACTACAATCCAACTCAACTCGTAGGGGTTGATCGGTTTATATTGTAATATAGTATTAAACATAGTTAATTAGGGATTGGTTTAAAATCTAATGTATATATGTTAATCAGTCATTTAAAATTCATGTTAAATCTATAGAATAGAAGTGCATCATGTCCATCGGGTTGGGTTGGGTTGGGTTGAGTTGAATTCAAATAATCAATAACCTAATTCCAACCCAATAGATACGGGTTTGCCTAATTTTGTATCAACTATGTATCGGGTTGAGTTTTTTTGAATTTTTTCAAGTTGGGTTGGACAGATTGGTCGGTATTTTGAGCACACCTACATGAGAGAGATAAAATATATCACATTTACTAATATATTCTTTAAAAATATATCTATTAGAATGAAAAATTGCGTAAGTATGTAATTATAATATTTTCCTAAAAAGAGGTTTTAATTTATGTATTTTCTTTTTCTTCCCTTTCCTCTTACATTTGGAAGGAAACTAATCATTATTTGACTTCTCTTTCCTTTCTTTTATCTCCCGAAAGAAGTTTCAAAAACAAGAGTTTTTTTTTTCTTCTTAATTTCCTTCCCTTTTCTTCCATTTTCCTCTTAAACAAGAAGTTTTGAGAACAAAGCATTGCGGTATCCCAACTATGACCCGGAATCAAATCCACAAATTAGATATTCCACAACATCCTCAACGACATTCGAAATCAAACCATGACAGATTAGATATTCCATCACATCCTTCTGGGCGGCTCAACCATCCCTTACGCCACAACCTTTGTAGTTCGGTAAATACTTAAGTTTTCTTAATCGTATTAATTACATTATTTTCATAGTCAAGATAAAAACTTTATAAATATCAAATATCGTTTACATTATCAAATTTTTTATACCAATATTGATTGTAGTAAATCACGTAACCGAGATAAAGGTGTTTGACCTTGATAAATGTTAATTAAAAATTATCGTTTACTTAATACTTTACTTTAAGAGTAAATTAACTATTCTGAATAAGTGAAAAATGACCCAACTTTTCCTTATGATACTTTCCCTTTTGGATAATATGATTGCATTGCCTGCCATAATTCAAACTAGTAGACAAAGAAATTACCATTGACCATTTTACACCTTTTAGATATGAATAGTACTACAATCAATAGTTTCATCTAGGGTGTGTTTGGTACATTAGACATGATATGATAGAATAAGACATGGATCTTTGTCTTGTGTTTGACATTACTTCTGTGTGGAACAGAGTAGAACATACATGTTTCACCTCTACCACATGGAACATGGTGGAACAAGGTATAACAGACTTATATTTTACCAATATAAACTCATAATTCTCTTTTAAAAATATCAAATAGGTCTTTTTTTTACATTTTTTAAATTTTATTTATTATATTTTATGTTTCTTAAACTTTCACTTTTTCTTGTCCTTAAAATATTATTTTTATACGAAATCTATATTTTTATTGATTTATGTAATTTATTATATATTAATAATAAAAAATAATGTAGAAAAGAGATAAAAATAAAAATTTAAAACTAAATAAATTTTTTATTTGGTGTCATTTTAATTGTTTTGACAAAAACTATCAAATGATATATTTTGTTATAAAAAATAATTATTCTATTATAATTTAATAAATTACATCAATTAATTAAAATAAAATACTCATTATGGGTAAAATAGTCATTTTACTTGTTCTGTTATGTCTAGTTTTATCTTACCACACGTTGAATAGTTGTTCTATCATGTCCTGTCACGTTCTGTCATGTCTTGTCATGTCATATCCTGTCTGGACATCAAACACACCCTTATAGCCATCAAACATCCTTTTGTTGGCCTCATATTACATAATTCCATGGCACACCTTTCTAGATCCAACATTTGTTAGTCTGGACTAGGAACGGACCCAATTAAGTTGTTATGGTGGCACGTGCCATTGTATTGTCCTTTTGTCGTAAGCTAAAAAGTTTAGGTTCATGAAATGTGTAACTGTATGGAAAAAAGTTAAGGATTCGTGTCTGATCTGGACCACCATCCAAATCGAGTAACCAAAGAACCCAAGACCTTTCCATTACTAACACATTTCGAATAAATTGATGATGTTCATACTGTAGTTTGCAAGTAATGACATCGTATATACTAGTAGCCTCGATATTCCATTTGATTTGATGCATAAATATTTACTCCAACATCGTAAAAATAAAGAGTAAATAATAAAATCCGACCCTATGGTTTGATGAAATTTTGGATTGGGTCTCTTAAATGAAATAATTATAGAGATGGTCATTGTGGTTTCATTTTTGTTGTGGATCAGGTCCTTCATTTAAGAACCGTTTAAAATATCTGTTAACTTAAAAAGGTATTTTCATGCTTTCCTTGTGCTATGGAACTTTTAATTCATTCGAGGACCTATTTTGTCAATTTCTAAAACTCAAGAAACTTCTTCTTCTCTCACCGATTTCTTTTCGGACTATACCATGAACAAGAACAAACCCCAAAAGTCAAAAATCACATCCAAAGTTAAACAAAAACAAAGATTCAAACGTAGAAAAATAATTTAAGAACAAAATCAACACAACCCCATTTCTGAAGAACAAAATAACAATACAAACTCATTTTTGAGAAATAAATCAACAACACAAACCCATTTTTAAAAACAATTTAAAGACAAACTCAATCCAACTCTTGTTTGAACATATGTTGCCCACTTTCTTCATCGTCTTGTTTTTTTTATTCACACTCCAATGCGATTTTTACGAGCCGATAAGCTATTTTTGTAACCAGACCATCGATCGGAGTTTGAAGCTCGATCAAGAAAGTCGGTTGGAAAGTGGAGTTTTTCTGGAATGCGAAATAAACATGGCCTCGCAAACCCATTTCGATCAAGAAATTCGGTTGGGAAGTGCCAGATCCAAAAAAACCTTGGTCAGGGTTGGGTTTGCGTTGAGGGTGGTTTTAAGGCAATAATCGAATGATGGTGATGGTGGGGATTCTTGTTCTTTTTCTTCACTATTGACCTTATTTGACCTCATGTATTGTTGATTTTATTATTCATAAATGGGTTCGTATTGTTATTTTGTTCTTAAAAAAGGGTTTATGTTGATTTTGTTCTTCAATTATTTTTTCTATATTTAAATCTTTGTTTTTGTTTAATTGTGGATGTGGTTTTTGACTTTTTGGGTTTGTTTTTGTTCTTGGTAATTTAAAAAGAGATCGGAGAGAGAGAGCAAGTTTATTGAGTTTTAAAAATTGGCAAAATAGGTACTTGAAGCAATTAAAAGTTTCATAACACAAGGAAAACATGAAAATGCCTCAAAGTTAACGGCGATTTTAAACGACTGCTAAATTAGAGACCTGATTCATAACAAAAATGAAATCACATTGATCATCTATGTAATTATTACATTTAAGGGACCCAATCCAGAATTTTACCAAACCACAGGGATGAAATTTGTAATTTATTCAAAATAAAAATGCAATATTTGATATATATATATATATATATATATATATATATATATATATATAATTTAATACTAGTTGTCTACCCGCGCAATGCAGCGGGGTATAAGTTTTACATAAATGTAAGCGAGAATACCGATTGACGATTACAACAGATACACACGTGATTGCCATAGCAAGACCAAACCAACTTGTGTCGATTTTTTAATTTGACTTTTAAATAATTTGTTTTGTCATTCAATCTTAATTCTCATACAAAGTATTGATTGTTTTATTTGATTTATTTACTTCTAGTTGCATACCCATGCGATGCAACGGGACACAACCATTACCATTGAGTGACAAAATAGCTACCGATACTTGCACAACCAATCAGTCAAATCCATTTGGTTGACATCCATTTGCCATTAAAACACAATAGCTAACTGATACATGAGAAGTTTTCTTTGAAAAAAATGCAAATAGCAGACTCATATAACAAAAAACAAAAATTATAAATGGTTAAAGACTTTGAGCATTTGGATAAACGACCTTTAAATACCTCAATCAAAACTTATAAATTATGATCATAATTTACTTTTAGTATTGTTACCAGATGCTATAATAGTCCATGTATATTTAACACTCGGTAAAAACTCCAGCTTATGCTATAATAACACAACTGTCACAAAGCAACCACAAAAAAAAACTAAATCGACAAATCATTAAATCACGACAATAATTTTACAAGTAGCAAACAAATCAAGTAGCTAAAATGTTACCAACACAATGTTGCAGGAAGTAAAATTATTATAAACGATTATAAAAAGGGATGTAAATGAATAACATAAAACAAGATTAAACCAAACCTCAGTTTAAGCATTTCCAAACTGACATAAATGGATTATTGTGGGTTTCTAGTTCCCAAAAGATACCACCAATGGACTTTGGCCAAACCAACCCACTTCCATTAAAGGCAAAAAACAACATCCGTCATCCAAATTAGATAAAAGTTGAACAACATAAACAAAACAACACGTAACACATACTACATCAAAACAAATGTCATTGTCTTATCATCGCTAGTTGATGCAACCAAACCTGTAACCATTGAAAATACCAAAACTGCTATGTGCCAACAGGGTCATTGCCTTGTTCTCCGACATGTTCTACAGGTCCAATGTAATTGTCTTGTCCCATATCTTTCGCTGCCAATTGACATATCTACAATAACAAAAGCTAAAATCCCACAAAAAGATTTAAAAAAACAAACAAAACCAATAAACCTTATTCAAATATTTGCTTCATCCCATTTTCAAAATCGTATGATCACCTCACCAGAAACAAACTGATAATTGCAAGAAATGAATCAAATGGTTCGACGATTTATTTACAAATGATTGTTGCTAGAATTTTTTATATCWCGTCTTCCCGGGTTTGAATCAAACCCAGGCGCTGCCAAAGCCCATGATGTTGAGATAGGTGCTTTATTTAGTTTGAGTCCTTGACTTGATAGAGTTGGATTATAAAAAAGGCAATAATAGCATCAAGCACGTGAATGATCCAAAGTTGTATATTAACATCAAACCCATTAGAGTTTATGTTCTTATAAGTGTTAACAAGGCAATAAGGCAATATAAGGGACCGTTTACCAAACACTTTACCGGTAAAATTCAACAGTATCATTTACTTACCGGGTAAGATTATAGTTCACAAAAACGATATTATTTGCAACAATTTACTCGGTAAGCGCTTACCGTGGTAAGAGTCATCACCCTCACTTGTCGGGTAAGACTATTGTCTTTGTCTCGTTCTTACTGGGTAAAATTTTTGGTCCCTACCATATCTATCTAGTAAGATAATATGACTTGGTAAACTCTTACCAAGTAAGCGTTACCAAACACTTTACCGGTAAGCGCTTACGGGTAAAATTTAACACTATCATTTACTTAGCGGGTAAGATTATAGTTCACAAAAACGATATTATTTGCAACAATTTACTCGGTAAGCGCTTACCGTGGTAATAAGCCATCACATGTGATTGTTCCCTAAATCTTCAATACACAGCAGACAATACATTCCAGTATTCAATTTCTTCTGATTAAGATAAATCAATTACTTGAATGAATGTCGGCAGTACATCAGTAGGCGCTGAAATTGATCTTGCTGCACAGCATGTACTGCTATTAAAATCCAAATATCTCATTAATGCATGGGTCAAAGTTAGTCATTGTCATATAACAACTTTCAGTATCATTTTGTAAGCAACATACGAATGAACAAGACAAAGAATAACGATAAGAGAAGGGCATTCCAGATTACTTACAAATTCTATTAGGAGAAGGTTACTATGCTGAGAGAACATCTAAACAAATCATCGAGATTCTGAAAAGAAGAGGAAAGGATCTGGAGTCACAAATTGAAACCCTTAATGCTGTAATCAAGGATCTCAAGTTTGAAGCCTCCTTTTTTTGATGACACAGCTATTGAGGCTGCAGTAAGTCCCTTCTCTCTACAAAAATGTCAGTTAGATTCACATTCTGACACTACCATTGCTTGAACGATGAATCAAATACATGAAGGGCATTCACATATATAAGTTTGTCAAGACATTCAAGACATTTTTAAAGAATGAGGTTAAAAAGACGTCAGAGTGAAATTCTACACTGCTGAAAACTCCCTTTCTTCAACTGTGAACTCTCTCTTTTACTTAAACTAAATACAACACCTCACATATATTAAAAGGGTAGTACTTAGTAGCTTTGCATCACGAATTGGTTTCAATTTGTCCAACATATAACAACAGGTTTTTGGCCAGGAGCAACAGTAGGAACAAGAATGATTGTTGATCAATTGTTTGCATTCTCTAATGTACCCATATACATACAAAGCTCCTGTCCAAAAACTAAATTTAAAGGAAGGTGTAGTCTTAGAAGTAGACTGTTCTCTAGTATATATTTTTATTCATATAAAAAATGGCATCAATCATAAGAAAGCAGGCTACATGTGGCAGCCACAACCTTGTTTATGTGCACTAACCTTAAACTTGGATCTGATACCATAAGTTTGAACCAACATAACCACCGATGCTTCTTGAGAAAAGAGGCAGTGATTTTATCTAGCTTACCTCTAACATAAGGATGCTATGCTAATTGTCATTAAGGTTAATATATCAAGAACCATCTGGATGAGGAAAGTTCATGGCAGCATATAACAGCAGTTTTTTGGATAGCAGGCAGCAGGAGACTTGAATAAAGTCTGCCTTTTTAAGCTAACAGCCATATGCTAAAGTATCAGACTCTTGAAATCATTTTTCTCAACTCTTGTATGGACTACATGTTCTTCATTTGATTAATCCTCTTTAGAAAAGCTTATTATTTTAAGTTATATTTCTTATTTATTTTTCCTGCTAATGCTCTCCTATTAAACAATAGCTTGAAGCCTTGAAGGTTATTGACGGTACACTTTGTAAACTGAAAACCATCTCCCAAAAAATCATATTTAGTGTATGTAGACTTAGGTGCCATTTACCAAACGCTTACCCGGGTAAGCGCTTACCAAGTCATTTACTTTACCGGATGAATATGGCAAAGACTAAAAATCTTACCCGGTAAGAGCGAAGGCAAGAATTGAGTCTTACCCGGTAAGTGAGGACGAGGACTCTTACCATGATTAGCGCTTACCGGGATAAATTGTTGCATACGATGCGTTCTAGTGAATAAAATCTTACTCGGTAAGTAAGTGATAGTGTTGAATTTTACCGGTAAGTGCTTATCGGGTAAGTGTTTAGGTAAACAGCCCCTTAGTTTTCAAGGCATTTAGATTAAAATAGTATAAGCATTGAAACCTGCCATGAAAAAAAAGAAATCCTTACATGAAGACAGATGAAACAATAAGTCGATGAATATTCAACGTTGATTATATTTGATATGTAGCACCAAACAGAGAAAGGGAAAGAAAGATGACTTTCTTATCACATCACTTGTATTTTGAAGAAAAGAAAACACCAAGGGGAACGCATTGATGGGATCAAGTCCTACACTACTAATTGCCCTTATCAGGTATCAGGAGCTATGAAGTCAGATAAGTTTGGTGAAACATTCTTTTTCATATGGACCATCCAAATTTTAAGACTTTGATCAAGATAGTTCCAAATGAACCGGTTTATTTGCATGCCCTTATAAATACTTAGAAATGATAATCAAACCACTGTCATCAGGGTGATCCTGAAAAAATATGAATACTTAGAAATGATATATCAAAACCACCTCTTTCACCAGAATGATTCTTTTATGAAATTACAGATCATCCTTGTTTCATTAGGATGCTCCTGAAAAATCTAAACAAACTTCTATAAACAATTTTTTCTATTAAAATGTTCCTTCTATGAAAATATTGATAAGCACTTGACCATGATGCTGCTAACACCTTGATTTTCTATTCCTTGGTAAAGGGAAGAAAAACAAGGGGAGTGGAAAGATGAAGTACAAGAACAGTACATGCCTGGTGCAAATGTGATGCATGAAATTGATGACAAGTCTTTCTATTATCGAAGAATGTATGTTAAGAGTGTTCTGGTACCACCACCAAGTGAATGGCCAACAATATGCAAATAAATGCAAAAAGCTAATTAGAACACTCATTTAATTAATGGAGGATTGATACTGAAGTTACACAGTATGTGATATGTCGTGAACTCGTCGTAACTTTTAAGACTTAAGGTTTGACCACAATATCACGTTTCATGTTATTTAGAACTTTGATGCTAATTGGTTTTATAATAGGAAAGGGCTGATTTTGTCATGATCTTAGGTTGGAAGGGTTTGAACTGAAATTTATCAAAAGTATAAGGGGCTCGAGGTTTGTACTTCAAGTCGTCCGATCGATACGTAAAAAAAATCTATCGAAGAAGACGATCATTCGGCGGCCATGGAAGAAAAATTCGACAAGGTGAAGCCTCAAATTATAGTTGAGGAATGGAGTGGATCTTCTTTGAACAAACTCTCGTTGACTGCCGTTATATCGCCGTCTTCTTCTTCGTCTTTCACCTTGAAAAGACACGGTAATCGATTCAACATTTTCTCCCGAAGGTTTATCGAAGCGTTTGTTCCAGAGGTAATGTAACATAAGCATTGCACAGGATAGTCGCTCTTTTCTGGTTCGATTTAGCATTAGTTCAGTTACATGTAGTTCTACTCAGTTTATGAGTTAATTTCTACTTTGAATCATCATGGAGATTTAATATATCTTGGAGCAAAATCTGATGTCTACATTGAACAATAACACACATCTAACAGTGTCTGTTAGGTTATCGTCGCAGATAATGATAGTTCTTAATTTGTACTGAAATGTTCAGTTTATGCATCTATTTGTTGTGCGGGAACTTTCTTGTGTGTGTGATTATACCTATGTGTCTATTGCCATGAATTGAAGTGCTTATTATAACTGAATATCGTTAGGTTGTTTATGGAGAAAGGTATCTAGCTTGATCTAGAGATCAAGCGCTCTAATTGTGTTCCATACAGGGCCGGCCCTGGCCATGTGCAGCCCGCACAGGGCATCAAAGCCTAAAGGGGCATCAAGTTGTCATATGTTACTAGTATTGGGTTTAATAATTTGAGAATTGGACAACTGAGCTTTAACTATAAAAAAAGGCGCAAGGCCTAGTAGTGATGAATATTTAATGCACATCGTGAACCAGTTAAGGCCATCATCCCAACAACTCAATCTAATTCCTATTGTTCTTCAAAGTTCGACTATTTCGATTTTGAAGACATGGAGTTCTCTTTCTAGCCGATTAACAGTCATGAAATTAGATTCAAGAAATCAAAGATAGAAATCTCGAATAACTGACTTCTACTGTATTTATGAATCTTTAAATCTTTTTGCAAAAAAAAAATCTAAATTTCTAACTGATTATTATAAAGTTGGGTCATGTGGTCATGTGGTTACTGACCTACTAAGCTAAGGCTAAGGCTAAGGGGTTTTTGTCATTTTGATAATGAGTCTTCTTCTTGCATATTGAAGTATCTGAGAATTGAAATTTTCAATGCACATGAGCACATCACTCTATCAACATAGCTGGARCACACTGCACAACATAAACAACATATTCTGAAATTGTCTTAATTATTGGGCACTTGTTCTTTGCAATGCACAGTAACATATTATGAATTTTACAATTTATTATTGTTCTTTTGACTTTTGTTTACTGCATTAGATTTAGGGGTTGTTTGATTGGTTTTTTTTATTAAGTTCTATATGGATAAAGTTGCCTGTATGAATTAATCTGTTTGAATAATTGAAAAAGTTTTTGTTTGGGAGAGTTTTTCGCTAATATAAGGAGCATTTTTTAGTTGGAATGGACATGTTTGGAAGAAAAAAAAACTTGGCTTTCTATATAAAGCACCCCCTAAAAGCTTACTGGATAAGTCACTTTCTATATCATTAAACCACTACTACGAAACAATCATGCATAATTGAGCGAATAAGCTGTTAGTTTCATTAAGCTTATTAAGCTGTTAACAGATATGCCCTTAGCCTTTAGTCGTTAGACCTGTAACTTTTGAGTTTTACTTTTTGCTTACTATGATAGTAATTTGGATGTAATTTACTATTTTAGTTAAAAACTAATTATAGTTTTTTTTTGTCTTTTAGGTCCCATATATTGAAATAAAGTTTATATTTTGCTAATTTCAGTTTGGAAAGAGGAAAACCGGAAAAGAAGAAAACACGATCTTAATCCAGGATTTTTCCTTTTATCATTCAATATTTTGTATTCGGGGTTTTGGTTTTTATCCCCCTCCCCCAAATTGAATTATTTTTATTATAATTAATAAAAATCAACATGACGATGAGACACTTAGCTTGAATAAGTTCTAAACTCTATAAAAAATCGCATGCTTAGTTGTTTCATTGGCTTAAAAAAATAGGCTTATGGGCATTTTTTATTATTTTCGCACAGATCATCAAAAATCTTAGGACCGGCCCTGGTTTCATAATTGATGTTCAGTAATTTTTTGTGGAATCAGGTCACACCAAATAACTATGAATTGAACACCATTGTAATATTTTGTTTTAAAATCTATATGCAATTTGCATATCCAGAGGTTCTAGGATTCCACCTGAGAAGTGAAATTGTATCTCTTTTAATCTTTATGATGTGTTCTTATTGTTTTTATTGGATTGTTTTTGGAATAAGAGTATTTTAAGAAACATGTCTGCTAGTACAAGATGATGTGTCATGTGGGATATGACCTTGGCTGCATTTTTTTTTTTCCTTTCGATTATTGAATTTTTCATAGTCTTCGAAATATACATATATCATAAAGTTGTGGAAAGTATGACTATGTGAAGTTAACATACAAAGGGGAGCCACAACTACTAAAGAAATACAATAAATGCTATTTGCCATTGACCTTTTGCTCTTTGTCTTCTGTTTGCTTCAAGTTTCTTATTTCTGCTGTATATTCTGGATGCAGGGGTTTCCGAGCAGCGTGACTCCAGATTATATTCCTTTTCAGACATGGGATCTATTGCAGGTTTGAAATCCATTACTGCTTATAGGAAGTGCTAATAGAAATCTTGGAATTCCCATTTTATATATTGTAACGGATCCAATCTCTTTTATAGGGCCTCTCAACATACATTAGGACCATGCTTTCTACACAAGTAAAAGTTTATGTGTACCGTTAAATTTAGTTCTTTTTAAATCATTTCAATCTTAAACTTGTGTTGGAGAATCATTCACCAGTATCTACTTCACCAGGCTCTTCTAAGTGCTATAGGAGTTGGGGAGAAATCAGCAACTGTAATTGGGGCTACTTTTCAGGTACAGTATTTGCGTCTCAAGTCTGATATTCATTGTTGTTTACCTTAGCTGATTTTGTTGATCACGATGTCCCTTTTCCTGGATCTGGAACTCTTGCAGTGGTTTTTGAGGGATTTAACTGGAATGCTAGGAGGTGTCATGTTCACATTCTACCAGGTGTGTTATTATGCACATTATTGATCATCCTTGATTTTACATGCACATTTTCAAAGACAAAAATGCATGCAATTGATTGGAATATTTTGTGAGTTATTATCAGAAATTGTTAGTGTGCAATTGGTTGGAATATTAGTTGTGCCCAGGAGAGTCTATATTCTACCTGTACAATTCCTATGTGGATATCAGCTCCTCGAGCGAACTGCTGATATTTTATTAGGCTATTATAGATGACATATAACTTCATAAGATGAACCACAGGCTCTCTGTGGCTCATAGTTACGTTTTACTGTATATATCTTTCATAACAGTTTATACAGGGGATTCAGTTTTCATTCATCTAGTAGTCTGTTAAACATTATGCATTCATTGATGATGAAAAGCAGTTATACTTGAGATTCTTTTCTTTTCAGGGCTCAAACCTAGACAGCGATGCCAAAATGTGGCGTTTGGTTGCAGACCTAATGAATGATCTTGGTATTGATCCAATTAGTTTCCTTACATCCAATAAATATGTGTCAATGTCCATTGTATTTAAGGGAAGTGGCTCTAAAATAACTGTTTTGTATGACTAATATCCTGAGGTTGAAATGCTATTTCTATAAATAAAAAAAACAAAGTCTTTGCTGCATGCTAGCTTTGCAGGATACTTAATTACATACTTTTGTGTGGGCACGCTGGTCCTTTCATTAAGTAGAGAGCTTGCTTGAATTTTACTTGGATTATATGGATTGTGAAAAATGATATTGGTTGCAGGAATGCTGATGGACCTTCTTTCTCCATTGTTTCCTTCGGCATTTGTATTCATTGTCTGCTTAGGGAGCTTGTCAAGATCTTTCAGTAAGTCATTAATGTTTTTCCACGTTTGAAAATCGGTTTCTAGTTACGACATCTCTAGGCTGATAGAGAAAGATAAATTATAATGCATCATTGTCTACGAGAGCAAATTACACCAAAATTATCCAAACTATTAGCCACTTTCACCACAAGTACTCGAACAAGATCTATCACTTTGGAAGGACTCAAATTAGTTTTGGCTTAACATGGGGAATTTCCATTAAATATAATTTAAAGGTTTCTTAGTGGCAGTTTGGTCTCTATGGACTATATGGCACCCTCACGTTTTGGGGAAAAAACCTCTCTCCCAAATTGATTCTGGTGAATTTTGGATATATGTATTATGAGATATAAAATCTACAAGTAATGTTTAGATATCAGTAATTGATAACCATGTCTGTTTTTTAGTGATTCGGTCTTCACTTCAATTCACATATCAATATAACCATTTCCTTCTCTTGTTGGGCTACTTCTGGAATGGTGCATTTTGGTGATCGCCAACAGATTGTGATATGACCAACTATCCTTTTTAAACACATCTCAGTTTTCATAATCTCTCCTTACATTCTGTTTCTTTAGCTGGTGTTGCCAGTGGAGCAACTAGAGCTGCTTTGACCCAGCATTTTGCTCTTCAGAATAATGCTGCAGATATATCTGCAAAGGTAATTTGTTGATCCTCTGGCAGTAAATACCACATATAATCAAATATCCTATAATCTTACTGTATGTTTATGTTCACTGTTAGGAAGGAAGCCAGGAGACAGTTGCAACAATGATGGGAATGGCTTTAGGAATGTTTCTTGCACACATTACGATGGGACACTCAACAATAATATGGTTCTCTTTTCTGTCGCTCACCATGTTCCACATGTATGGTTAGTTATGCTCTACTTCCTTCTTCAGTTTGTTTATGACAAGCTTGAAATGACACCCCACATTATTTTTTGAACTTCACCATTGCACCATTCATAGTCACATTTAATTTATATACATATTGTACTGAAACTAAGTTCATTTTCTCTCTGTATTCCGTGTTCTGGCGGTTTGTAGCTAATTACAAAGCTGTAAGGTGTCTTAATCTGACTACATTAAACTGTGAAAGAAGCTCAATTCTTTTGCTGCATTTCATGGAGACTGGCCGAGGTGAGGAATGCAACCTGCTTTTGTCATTGTATCCGCTGTAATTATAAACATGCTTTCATGAGGCAATAACGTTCACTACAGTGTCAATCAGTGTTGTGGTGGAGTGGTTAGTGCCTGGGCAGTTCATAGCGCTGAACCCAGGTTCAAATCCCTCTACGCACATCCTGTGCGACATTTACCAAAGGGGCATGCTTAGCCCTGGATGTGCCTGGGATTAGTCGAGCTTCGGCTCGGATACCCTTTCAAAAAAAAAAAAAAAACGTTCACTACAGTCTATTATTTTTAGATTTTAGAAAGATAACAGCAAAGGTGAATTTAATTATAGTTCTGTGACATGAAGTGTGCCAATTTGAGATCTGGCCTTGTGTTTGGAAGCATGTTAATATAGGTTCTTTTTTATTTCACTTGTAATCATGATGACTCAAGTCTTCTGTCCGCACTTTGCAGTTCTCTCTCCAAAAGAGGTCTCAGACTTGGAGCATGTTTTACCGTTATGGATAAGTTCTTGGAGCTCAAAGCGTACCAAACTTTTGTATGCACGGGTACGCTTAGGTGCGAGGGTTTCCTCACTTGACAGCCTGGAAATGTGAGTTTTGAAATCGTTGTAGACACGCTCATTTAACAAAGAGCTTGCTGCCACTTCTGGACATTTTTGGGCAACATCAACTACTCCCTCCATCCTAGAAAAGTAGTCTACTTTAAGATCTCGATGGAATTCAAAGACAATATATTGGACGCTTTTTTACATGTAATCAAATAGAAATTAACAAAATTATTTCTTAATCCAATACTAAGGAAAGGAAAAGCATTATGGGATCATCAAATGTATCTTGGTGTTAAATTTTGAAAAGGAATCTTTGTTGGACTTCTCTTTTGTGTGAAGTCGACTCCTTTTTAGACAAAGGGAGCATTATTTGATGCCATGTGAGGTTGGTTGGGAGCCATCTTCAAGCTGTACAATCCTAGCATGTGTTTCTTTCTATACTCTTCAGCTTGAAAACTTCGAGCCAACTGATGGAAACTCAAAAAGATCATCTTCAAGTCCGCACTTTTACTTGATTATATGATGGATCTTATTTAATCTTTGCAAGTGACATCATGTTTTTTCTGTTGTCAACAAACAGGATGGAGCTATTAAGTTCTGCTGGATCTCGATATGAGAAAGGTTGAGGTTTACAAAGTTCTTACTTAAAAATAGCTCGTCAACAAAGAATACTCGTATTAATTACTGCTGTCTGGACTTTCAGCAAAATACATGCTACTTGAGAAGAAGGGAATCATCAGCATTGTCATGCATAAAGATTCAACTACTGGAGATGTCATGCAAGGGTTCATGCATGCTCTTGTTATGGCAAATCTTGTAGATGATAAGCCTACGTCATTACATACAGATAGCCAAACATGGATGGACAAACACTATGAAGCCTTTGTTTTGAAGGTACATTTCACCCTTGGATTCCTATTTTAGCTTTAGCATATCAGTCTTCTGCAATGTTAAATATACCTATTACTTTTTTTTTAAACTGCACCAACAATTACCAATCTGCTTTCTTCATTAATGCAAGTAACCCAATCAGTCCCCACCTAGCCTGCTTAATTCCCTCTTAACTTAAATGCCTTGATTCAGTAGTTATCTATTAATAAAAAAGAAAGAGGAAGAGAGTATACACCACCTTGTGGAGTGCCCTCACCATACCGGTCCCACAATCATCGTGAGGGAGGTAAATCATGCAAGTCCAAGCGACAAAGGATGATGTGTAACACCCCAAAAATGGGACAACAAAAATTTCCAAATAAAGACGGAGATTTGGTATATAAATATCAGAATACGAGCCTTCCACAAAAAGGGAACTTAAATACGCCTGTTTGATTACACTTTGTAACAACAGGGCATGAGTATAACGACCTCCTAATCTAATTCCATAAAGAAAGAAGATTTCAATTGGGTGTCCCTTGAACCACCAAAATAACTTCAAAAGGCGGCGTCTCAATAATGCTCCCAAGCTCCCTCTAAAGGACCGGTCACTAGAACTTGAGATACATGCCGACACGAAACAAGTGTTAGGCCAAAAAGCCTAGTGAGCATGAACATAAAGTAGAGAATTGCAATATAATTAGTTAAAATCATTGCAAGTCAAATACAACATTAGGTGGAATCAACGGGGGAGACCTGCATCCATTGAGAGTGACGGGCACAAAAGTATATCACTCAAACAACGTTGTCGCATAACACTTCAAGACTTACAGTCCAAGTGTCCTAACGACTACTTAACAAGTTTCATCTCAAGATTCGGTTGTCCTTAGTGTCTATTCTTGCGAATTCCACCCCAAGGCTCGGCACACTTAGTGTCTACCTCAAAGGTAACACCTCAAGCGGTGAGATCTTAGTGTCTACCCCAAAGGTAACACCTCAAGACTCAACCCTCCTAGTGTCTACTTGGAAAGTTTCATCCAATGAAAATATCCAACTAATCCACATTTTGGTAATCTTTCATCCATTAAGTCATGTAAGTTATCAACTACCATCATAAAATCATTCACTAGCATTTATAGATAAAATCCCAACTTTTGGTCAAAATCCTAACAATTATGATTTTTCATAAAATACCAAGATAATGAATGAAAATCCATATAAACTATCCCAATAGGCATTTAGTTCAGAAAAATTCATTAATATGACCTCAATATGAAGATTTGGCCCAAAAATGCATAAAACTTCATCAAATATGAACATATGTTCAAATCACCAAATAGTTGTGTGATACTTGAAATTAAAGCATGTAATAGCATCACATAATACAATTCAAGCATGTATCTAGTTTTTAAATGCTAGCATCATAGAATACATTCAGGCATGTATCTAGTTTTACAAAGCATTTAAAACTCAGTTGCTAGGTTTTTGAAGAAAACCTAGAAAATTGGTAAAAACCCAAAAATGAAGGTGATGAACTTGGATCTTGATCAATACTTGAAATCTTGATGTTTGAAAGTTTGTAAACACTTGGAGATGAACAATAAATGCACTCTCAAGTCTTCAAATCGGTTTAAGTGAAAAAGCTAGAAGGTAGCTGAGAAGCTAGAAATCAAAACCCTTGTTCACTAGAAGAAATCGAGACTCAAAAGTGTAGAGGGAGCTTCCAAATCGGTGGCCTAATATGTCTTGATAAAAAAAAATGAGAGTGAAAGGGAATGAGTGAAGTAAAATATCAAGGACCAAAATCCTGATTTTTAGCTGGAAATGGCCATACACGACTTTCCTGGTGGACTTTCACGGTCGGGCTACTGTTTTCAGGGTCGGGGAACGCACAGGTCACCAAACTCGACTTTCTGGTGAACTTTCACGCTCGGGGAACGCCGTTTTCTCCTATATTGCCTCCTTTCACCCTTAAACTAATATCCAAACATCCCCAAACCTCCTAAAACTTAATCCTTTGCATTCTTAGATAAAATAAGTGTAAATACTAAAACTTCTAAAAATTATTTACCTTAATTTTCCGGGTGATACATGATGCCCGGACTCGAATACAGGACCTCATACAATTGGCTTACGCCCACCACTAGGCTAGATCGCCGGGACTATAGTTATCTGTTAATTGAGCCGGTTGTTTTGGGGGTGGGGGTGCTTAACGAATAGGCTTCCGCTTGGCATAGTTGACAATTCCATTCTGTGTGCTTCTACTTCAGTCTTTCATTCAATCTTTTGTCTCCCCCAACCCACCAAATGAAGTTCTCTCTAATGACCCTTGCTGTCCTTGATGCGCTTTTATTTCAACTAATGGCCAAAATTTGAGATGAGCATCTGATCCAATTTACAGTTATATTTGTGTAAGATAGTTTCTTGTTGCATAACTTAACCTGGATATCTGTATTTTTTACTTGATTGGCAGCTTCAATCATCTGGTTGGAAAACGGAGCGCCTTTTGTCTTCGTCAATCATCTGGAGGGCAAACTGGAGCCATGGGGCTCCAGATAAGAAGATAAACTAGAAGAAAATGCCTATACAGTCATACAGACAAAATCCAAAGATCGCCCCCTCTCTGGAGAATGAAAATGGAAAGACAACCGATGAATTCAGGTTTTTGAGACAATTTTAATGGTTCGATGAACCTTGTTACTAGTGATCTGAGGATAGTATTATGAGAGTTTGGGTACGTCTACTGTGGTATTATAAAACAAATATTTAAACTCAATGTACAAATTAATTGCACAATTGCACCTATATTGCTACTTATAAGATAATATTGCAAATTTTGAGAGGAAAAATTAATCTTATGCCCAGTTCTGAGATTTTCTTGACAACATTATACTATCTCTAGGTAAGGCAGAAGAAAGTATATTTCCTAGCTGATAGGAAATTGTTTGTGTGTTTATGCATGTATGCATATCATATGCGTCCAATGACACCTTCCAACTCAATCTTTTGCCAAAAATGACCAAAACCTGGAGGAATATACTCAAGTGACTTGCATCTCAAGCAGTGAAAGTTGTAGATTCATATGGATTTGCCCATTTCTTCTCCCTGAGAAGACCTTGAAAAATGTTTGTTGATCATCTTGTTTATGAGTTCTGTTTAATTCTTCTTCGAGTACTTAACATTTTCCTTGAGAGTAATTTTCGCATTTGAAATTTATAGGGTGGAGAAATTACACGAAATGTATAACCAACCCAAACAAAGAAATATGAAGTATGCCATTGTTGAAGAAACAGAAGAAAGAAATTACATGATATTAACAACCTAATGTCTAGAATACATGCTTCAATTTTGATATCAAACTTGCAATTTCTTATATGCTTTGTGCATTTGTATACCTTTAAACTTGTTTGTTTTCTGTACAATGTTGATTATACAGTGCCAGTAAACTTGCAGTGGTAACATTTTTTCCTTTTGATCATCTTAAGTTATTGTCTACTCTTTCCTGTGGCCAGATGACGCCATTAGAACTCCAACAGCCACAATAAACATGGACAGCATGCCTACGAGAAATATATACGTTCTCCGGGATGATCTTCGATATTCACCAAAAATGAGCACACCCCAAAAGGTACTCACAAGTGGAAGCGCCTGAAATGAGTTCACAACAAGCTCATAAGGTAAACATAGACATGAGACTTAATTTATTTTCTCCAAATGCATTGGCGGGTTGTACAGTACAACTCAGTTTTGCATCTGGGAAGTCTAGAAGTGGAACTAGATGCATAAATGAGCTATACACTAGAACCTACTAATGCATTTTATCCAGACAGTACTCACCATCAAATATTTTGAATCAAATGCATTGCTTAGTTGTACTATATAGTACAACAATGTATGAAATTAGATACATAGATGAGTTGCAGACTAGGACCTAGCGATGCCTTCTTTCGAGATATGACACAGTAAGTAATCTTGTGAATCAAGTGCATTGCTAAGGTTGTCCATGTAGCATATGGTAAAAAATGCATGAAATTAGATGCGTAGAAGAGTTGGACACTATCTGTCTAGATATAAAACTAAACCAAACGAATTCGGTGTATCCCACCTGGAGGGTGGGTCATGGATAGGGTAAGATGTATGGAGACATGACCTTTACCTCCAAGAGTAGAGTGGCTGTTTAGATCACACAACAATGCATTTTGTCTAGAATATTTTAGTTGTGCTGTATTATACAAATCATGAATAGAATTAGATGCATAGATGAGTTGTACACTAGAACCTAGCATGTTGTCTAGCCATGACACAATAAGGGCCTGTTTGTTAGCAGCTTAATGAACTTAACTTGACTCACAGCTTATTCGGACGGCGATACATGACTATTTGGTAGTGACTTAATGATATAGAAAGTGGCTTATTCAGTAAGCTTCCAAGGGGAGCTTTATGCAAAGAGCTAAGTTTTTCCCAAACCTGCCAAATTAAATAACACGCTCCTTTCATCTATGAAAAAACCCTCCTAAACAAAAACCTTCCCAATCTATACAGACGGATTAATCCACAAACAACTTTATCCATATAAGATTAATGGAAAACCAACCAAACAACCCCCAAGTCACGCTGAGAATTAAATGCATCTTTTCGTTGTACAAAAGGTACAACGATGCATGGAATTAGACGCATCGATAGGACTTGGCGAATCAGATGGTCACTTAGTTTTACCATAAGGCACTACAATACATTATGAGAACCATAAGCTTGTACAGACTTTGAAGTTTTAGCTAACCTGAACTGCATCAGCTGCAGCATAACCAGCAGCTTGACCTCCCATGAACTGGAGACCATTCCCAAAACCACACAAAAAACCAGCCAGAAATGCCCAACCTCGGCCATCCCAGTCGTTCAAATATGCCTTAATTGAAGATCGAGGCAGGTTGAATGCAGGGCGGTAAAGAAATATAACGTTCAAGATTATGGCAATCACGAAACACGAGCAAGAGAAGTAGAAAAAGGCTGTGTAGACACTTAAGTGAGGGACACCATCGTCCAAAGTATGCCATTGGTCATTGGTTGCAAGGTTAAACGCCGGTGAGAAGAGAGAAAAACAAATTCCGGCGAAGAAACATATGGCCAAACCGACCAAAGTGCTTTTCCCAAACACCTGAAATCCCGACAAAAACCGAAAGTTTAACACAATACTTGTATAGGAACTGCATATTCGTTTAGCTTACATAAATGACTGATGTTAGAAAACAATAAGTTAAATCAAGGAATCATGGATCACATAACCTTGATTGCTCTTCGGCTCTCGAGCTCAATAAGAAAACTTGCGGTCCCTGCTTTCGCTTTCTCTGCTTTATCAGTTCCATACTCCAGATCCTTTCCTGAGAATCGAAAAGAAAGATTAAACCAATAAGCAAAAGTGAAAAGCTGGAATTGAAGGGTTAGCTCAATTGGGGATCCTCTCCATGGGTCAGCGGTTTGTGCCACTAGAGATTCTCTCGACTGTTATCTTCAGGGACCCATGGTATTAGTCATGCAAGCTGGTTGTACACCATAGTTAACAAAAAAAAAAGCTAGAATTGAACCAGGTGTAGGAAAATTCAAGTGTTCTTACTTGAATTCAGGTTTGATTCGTTATTCATTGATCTGTCAAGTATCATTATAATCATGTCATTAGATTTCCAAAACTAAGAGTTGATATACAAACAAAGAAGATATACCCTTTTTCTGCCACACGAGAATCCTCCAACGTATTAAGTTTTGCTTGGTTATCTTTGGCCACGGATGCATGTACCGCAGAACCAAGACAAACGGCAACCAAGAAACACGCAACGCCTGGGAAAAGTATCTCAGCTCTGTTGATCTTGTCGTCTAAAAAGTAGTTCAAAGTTGTACCTATCACGCCATGACATAAAATCCGCAAAAACTCAATATCATGAAGTTTCAAAATGGTCTTTTGTATCGATGTTTATGTGGAGGCGATGATGATACCTATAACCACAGTAATGCTTGAGGTAATCACCTCAGTTACCGATAAACCAACAAACGCCCAAGCGTATTGTGTTGACAGATTTCCGAGACTCAAGACCACCCCGCCCGCCATTGCAAATAGAACGCTTGGCCAATTATTCTGCCACAAAACATGTAGTAATTTACAACGCAACAATCCATATTCAGGATGAATAGGAAATAGAAGCATATTCAAATGAGAACCATAAATACTTTGAGAACCTCAGTCCAATTATTTATGCTTTATTCACGATGCAAATACATAATGTTTATGATAAAATTGCATGATATCATGAATGATGAAAATGCATTACATTGGTTATTCATCATGAATAATAAACGAAATAGTTGGTTCTCATGTTTACGAAAATATTTATGATTCAATTGGAAATGAGGTCACCGTTTCTAGTTCTGCATTTCCTGGTTGTTCTCTAGGGTCCGTGGGATTAGTCGAGGTGCATGTAAGTTGGCCCAAACATCCATGGTTAACAGAAAATATTTATGGTTCTTTGAACTTTCTTCTATGGTTTAGGTGTTACTATTTGAACATTTTTTAATCCAAATCAAAAGTTTTATATAAAAATAAACATTTAATAAGAATTTCAAATGAAGGGTTGATTTAGGACTATTCATAATCTCCATTGATGCATTTCATCGAAATGTTAAGATGCACATACCTGAGAAAGCTGGATTAGGAAATTAGGCTTATCATCACTGGTATTCCCAAATTCCCCAAATGTAAAGGCAATAATGACAGCCGCCAGAAGATTGGTGATTGTGTAGTCAAGGTAAGTGTGTTGAGGAAGTCGGCCACGTCTTTCTAACAGAGTTAGAATGGCAGGCCATGTTCCTAGGAAGAGTAGTGCAAGCAGCATGCATGCTATCGCTCCTCCTCTGCTATCCACCACATACATCTTCAATTCCCAATCCGCCTCTTCTCCTCTAATCAAACTGATCAACAAACCACCAAATCCCACAAAACCCTACAACCAAATACACTGAAAAGTCTTACCATTTCCAACAATCCTGAATGAATCTATGAGATCACGATTTGGAGAGAGAAAGTCAAATAAAAGCAGAATCACAATAAACCCAGAAATTATACGAAAGAAAACCATGTAATTTGTCCAAATTTGCATATTCTTTTGGTGTCTTTAAGGAGACGATGGTAAAATGATGACAAATGAACACAAGTAACCATAAACAAGACGAATATCCCTAAGTGTAAGATCCAAGAACAAAGTTGCATCTTGAACCAAAAATAAAGTCAAACCCACCATAGCAGAAGAACCCAGTTCAAGAATCTGAAGAAGTAACCACAAACAAGATGAATCTCCCACAGGTACCTAACAATCACCAGGGCCCCACAAAGATACGAAAGAAAATGCCAAATACCGACTAATCACGGATCACAAAAGTAATTTTGAAAATAAATAATCAACTTCTTAAAGGTAGTACTGTATGCTATCCAATTATCTTATCATACACCCTACCAAGAAAGGTGAGGTGGTCACTTTATAGTAACAAGATCCCAATATTCTGGGACCTCCATGAACTACGCAATCTTGGATTATACCTTTAATAAAGGGCTGGTCAGAAATGGCTCCAAGATTTCTTTTGAGGTAACCAAGTGAGTGCCAAGATTTATTGGGGATGAGCAAGAAATGATGCGAGTCTTCAAAGATGAACCACCATTAATGGGGTCTTGTTCTCGCAGATCCTCAAAGATTCCACCGTCGTTCTTGCTGGAAACACATGTTTTAACAAATAAAATAAGTATATATATATATATATAGAGAGAGAGAGAGAGAGAGAGAGAGAGAGGGGGTTGGCTAATGGTACCTTGAGACTGCAAAGAGGAACCGCATAATAAGTTGAATCTTATTCTCACAGATCCTCATAGATTCCATACTTATGACGTCATTGGAGAAAAATGGAAAGAGATGTCTTATCATCGAGTCCACGTTGAGATTCAAATTTATAATTCTTCACCTTTATTTTGACTTTTAGATACATTTTAGTTTGAAGAAATGAAATAGATTTAAGGGGTTTGTTTTTTAAATCTATTATAATTTTATGTTTGGTTTATTTAATTATTTGGATTTGAAATTTTAGGATTTAATTGAAATCTTTCAAATACAGGATTTTGAATACTTAAGGACTGTTCGAGATTTTACAAAATTTAGTAGGATCGTATGTAACAAGGTTTTAAAAAATGTTAAAAACATTTGTTTTATAATAATTGATTAATAAAAATGTAATTCAGTTATTTTTATAATTTTTTCTATAAATTATTTGTAAATAATGGAATCTTTTTCATTCCAAATCCAATGATTTCAAATTCATTCCAATCTAAATCTCTTCAAATCCAAATCCTTCAAAAACAATCATGCAAATCAAATGGACCTTAGGCCTGGTTTTTAGCCGATCTGTTTCTTTTCGATATTAAAGATTATTGGAAGATATTTTTGGGCCATGTATAATATCCAAATCCTTTAAAAACAATTCTGCAAATTTCCAATAACCATGTTAAAATTTTAATGACTTATGAACTTTTTTGCTCCAACAATTATGTTACATAGTATGTTAAAATAGAGAAAAGAATAGAGGTAGGTCGAAATCTTCAAATTTGTAAAAATCTGTAAAACTTTGTAAAAGAGAAGAATTAATATTATAATTCTTTTCCACCAATAAGAGGTATTAATATAGATAATATTAAAATTGATAAAATAGAGTAGCTATTGGAGTTTGATGTAATCTTTTTTAAAAAATTGATTTAATTTATAACATACGTTTGTTAGGGATGTTTTAAGACATACAAAATTGCAAAATGGTCCTTCGATATAATCTTGTTAAACCTTAGGTTTTACAACCAACTAAAGAGCTATTTGATTGGTTTTCTATTAAGTCTTGTGTGGATTAAGAAAGTTTTTTGCTTTAGAGGGTTTTTTCATAGATGAAACAAATGTATTTTTTAATTGAGAGGGGTAGGTTTGGAAAAAACTTGGCTTTATGCATGCAATTCCTCCTAGAAACTAATTGAATAAGTCATTTTCTCTATCATTAAGTTATTACCAGACAATCATATATAGATTACCGATTAAGTTGTGGGTCCCATTAAGTTCGTAAGCTGCTAACGGGCAGACCCTAAATGTTTTTTTTTGAAGAAGTTGATGATGTCAATAGGAAATAAACTAACAAAGATTTAACAATTCATATCAGATAAAACTTCGATGATTAGTAGTTAGCCTAACACTTATATGATTGCATTTAATATGTAGGTGTTATCAAGTCGTGAGATTTTGAACAATTCAGAGCCTAATTATATATATTTCAAATTTTAGTCCATGTTTTAGCTCAATCTCCTTGGTTTCTTTCTTATTTTAGACTATTTGTCAATTCGCTGATCTCGATTATGACATCAAATTTGTAGTCCCTTCTCCTTAGATCTCTAATTTAAATATTGAACTCTCCTAGTCCTAGTTTACTAGTCACGTTCATCTTTATCTTTCGATGACTAATTTTATGATTGAAACACCAAGCACATCCCTATGCTTAATAATCTATCTCTTTCTTGTTTTTTGCATCTCTCTTTCTTGTTTGACGAACAAACTCACATGCGATTTCGTTGACTTCATCATAATACTGGTCGTCATTGTTTAGAGCGCTATAGCCCTTTGATAATATGCAAAACATTGAGAGTTAAGGGAGAATTTGGTCCTAGGATCGAGCTAGGGGTTTTTGAGAATTTGAGATAAACAACAGTTGGTAAAATTCTATATCATAATCTTTCAAATTAATGATTATTTTGAGAAAGTTAATTATGAATAACTAATTAAAAATCTTGTTTCGAACACTTGTATTGGTAAAAGTATAATAGAGCATCCAAAAAGATTGGAATAACACTGATTGTTATTTGCCTTATTGTGGATGTTTTGTTTTCTCTTGTTCTTGATTTGTATCCTCATTCGGTTATTGTAGATTGACCAACTTTTTCTCCTTATTTAATTACAAATAATAAATAATTAGTTGTCTACAAAATCTCATTCATTTATTAAAATGACTTTGGTCTAGCGATATATGAGTCTTTATTCTCTTAGGAGGTTAGAGGTTCAAACTCCATCAATTAAAGGAGGGTGTGCGAGTTTATTTATTCTATTTTTTATATATTAATATTATATACTTAAAAAAAATCTTATTTATTTAAACGGTTTGTGGGTTTTCAGAGTAATTATTATGATAAATAATCATAATTAGCTAATCAGTTGTTTAATTTATTTTGTAATATTGATTTGTTAGAACTCTGTCTAAAAAACCATTGTAATAATTAAATTTTTTAAATATGATATTGTTTTTATTTTCTTAATATTAAAAAACACTTTGCTTGGGATATCAAACTCCCTAAATTTCAGATCTCAAAATAAACATTTAATAAAAATGGTTTATAATTTTTAAAAATTTATAGATTTTGACACCAAAAAATATATATTAAAATGTAAGATTAATTGACTTAAAAAGTCTTGGATGTGATATTAGAGTTTTGGGAGTTGGGACCATACATAGACTTTTACGAGCAATTTTTTTGTCGTTTGCAATGCAAAGGTCAGACTTGGCAAACACTAATTCAGTCTTTTTCAATGTATTTCTGGTTTCGTTCATTAATGTAATAAAAGATCAGACAAAATATAAACAAAACATTGTTATCTTTGTATTTAAAATTATTGCATTGTTATCTATTAAGACGTTAATTATTTTATAATTATACTAGAAAGATACTCATGCAATAATATATATATATATATATATATATGTGTGTGTGTGTGTGTGTATGTTTTTGATGTTTTGTTTTATTTTATCCCAATAAATGTTATAATACGGTTTATGTGGTTTTAATATATGAATGATGTTTTTATTTTTGAATAAAATATAAGTTTGAAGATATCATAAAATTTTGAAAATAAGTATATTGATATTAGTATCAAATTAACTATTTAAAAATTTTGATTTTTGTGTAATTTCTTTGATACAATTTTTTATTATAATTTAATTTTAGATTTGATGACAAAGTAATTTATTTTTGGATTAATAATATAATTTTTTATAAGTTTAATAATTAAGTATTCTGTTAGAACTCGATAACTATCTTAATTATATTTTAGATTTTTTATATTTAAAATTTAATGTTTGTTTGTATTTGACTATGTTTATTTGCAGTTAGTTACACGAATTCAAATATGAGTTGTATTTACGCACTATTTACTTGTAATTTTGAATTTTAAGTAATATGCATCAATATACAAAAGTTTATGGATAAAAAATAGTTTTTAAAAGTTTTTTGTCAAATGTTTTATAATATAGTATAGATAATCTAATTTTGTTGTAGTGATAATTTTTCTTAATTGTTTGAATAATCAATGTTTTTTTAATCTTAATTTATAATTTTTATTTTTTTATTATTTTTAATTATTTATAGTTTGACTATATATTAATAATATCATGTTAACCAAACTTAATTTTTAATATTTTAGTCGCATAGTTCAATTCCCAACTCAAAAGATATATGAATTTCTCTTGATTTCATTTGTTTTTCTTTAACTTGAAATTTTATAACGCTAATTTTTTGTGTATATAGTAGTTTTTAAATAAACATAATGATTTTTATTTAATATGTATTTTATTTTAAGATATTTCATTTATGATTGAATATATAAAAAAATTAATAATTTTTTTTTAGAAAAAAAAGATGAATCACGTTAAATTTTAGAGCAAATTACACTTTTGGTTCCTATAGTTTGTTTAAAAACCGATTAATCCTTCATGACAGTTGCTAACTGACGTTGTTAAGTCGAGGAACTATAAAAGTTACGAAAATAAAAGGTTAAAAAACCATCGGTGTAGATAATTTATATTAAGGATCAAATTCGTAATTTGAACAAACCGCAAGGACCACCAGTGTAATTCACCTTTTTTCTTAATTATTGTATAATTATCCCTGTGGTTTGCTCAAATTACCGATCAGCCATCAGCCCACCCATAAAACATAAGGCCAACCTGGCTTACGATCCATTTCACATATACACGGGTCCAGATCGGTTCATCCAAAGTCCAAACCCGATTCCTGCCCGGGTTATACCCACACAAAAACACCTATAGTTTCAACATTTGAAGCATATACATATATTTTCGTATATTCAATTTAATCAGATGTATTTATTTATTTGCAGATTTATTATGAAAATTGAAAGATTTTATAGATTTATTTATTTGCAGATAATGTCTAACAATTGCAATGCTTAAAAAAAAATTAAAGAAGTTAGAAGGAAAAACTTAAATATCTTATCTTAATATCTTATAATATTAGAATGGTACTTGTGCAATGCAGCAAGTTACATCTTGATTTTTATTTTTCGTTTTATTATGTCCCATGTCGATGTTATAATATGGTTTTATATTGTTTTGAGAAAAACGATAATGTTTTTTTTTTTTAATAAAATATAAATTTGAAGCTTAGAATTTAAAAAAAATGTGATATTAATATCAAATTAATTATTTAAAAGCTCTTGTTTTGTTGTATAATTTCTTTAATTCAATTTTTTTATTATGATTTAACATAGGTTTAATAATTTATTTTTGATTTAATAATATAATTTTTTATAACGATAATAACTAAGTATTTTGTTAGAACAAAGTGATTATCCTAATTATATTTTAAATTTTTTATATTTAAAATAAAATGTTTATCTAA